TGTTCTTTACTTAAGTATTTCCATTTTATGCAGTTTTATACTTCTGCTCCACTACATCTCAAATGTTTTATACTTTTGCTCCACTATTTTGTCTGACAGCTTTAGTTATTAGTGACTTTACACAATTTTTCATACCCACCTTTCCAGGGAAAACCACGTATCTCTGAATGTGGGTTTGATTTTAATGTGTCTGTTAAGCCGAAGAATGAGATGTTCCTTTATGGATTGAGAAAATTAAAAGCTTAATAAATGTTTTATAGATGATAGATGATGGCCGTAGTCGTTTTGGGGCAAAAAGGAAAAGCAGTTAGACATTTTATAGGAAAGGAGAAATCGACTTTACCAGATTGTACCAACCTCTGTGGCTGTAAAATTAAGCTAACACAAACCCTGCAGTTCCTCTAACGTCTATTAGAGGCTGGCTCCAGCCGTGAGTGAGGCCCCATATTAAAATGTCTAACTTTACAGCCTTTTGGTCTCTGTATCAAACTTCCCTGTTCATGACAACTGTACAACTCACCCCTTTAAATTATATTAAGGCTTAAAGTTAGATATAATTAACGACGTGGCCACTGTCATCTTCTGCATTCGGAGCCACAGTCTGTGCAATATCAGGGTCGGTACCAACAATTCTCCTGGCCGACCGAATGGGCTCAGCTGTCAATTATAACATGAAACCCACTTTTTATATCTTCAAGAAACCATCTTTGGGGGAAATGTATTTGTCTTTGATTTTTGTGTTTGTCCCAACTGCTAAAATGGCAGCAGTGGGCTTTATGACCTATACTGCAGTCAGCCACCAGGGGGAAACAGAGAGGTTCAGGATTCACTTTTGGAAAGCTGTCATGTCGTCTGTCTTCGTATATGTTGATGTTGCAGTCGCAGGCGTCTGGTTTCAGTAACCAGGCTTCATTCAGCCCGTCTTAGCTCCACCCACACTCAGTGGCGGCGCCAGGGAGGAGCTAGGTGGTGCTGTAGCTCCCCCTATAATAGCCACAGCACCCGCCCAGCACCCCCAAGAAATGTCTGTGATTTTTTATGTTTATATTTTAATGTCATGTTT